TTGAGACAGAGTCTTGCTTTGTTGCCCAGACTAGAGTGAGTGCTGTGGTGTCAGCCTAGCTCACAGCAACTTCAAACTCCTGGGCTCACACAATCCTTCTGCCTCAGCCTCCCAAGTAGCTGGGACTACGGGCATGTGCCACCATGCCCAGCTAATTTTTTTTCTATGTATATTAGTTGGCCAATTAATTTCTTTCTATTTATAGTAGAAACAGGTCTCCCTCTTGCTCAAGCTGGTTTTGAACTCCTGACCTCAAGCAATCCGCCTGCCTCGGCCTCCCAGAGAGCTAGGATTATAGGCATGAACCACTGCGCCTGGCCTCGTGCTCTTCTTCCTCTGCACAAAACATTCCCTGCTTGGGTTACCCTATCCTCAGTTCTTTCTGAGGTGGGGCTAAATTTTGCTCCTTTTGGAAGCCTAAGAAAAATGTTCTCTAGGATGATTTATTATGTATCTGGCAGTATGCTAGGGATTTTCCATACAGTCAGATTCAATTAAACCATCAGAACAACCCCATAAATTAGGAGCTACTAATATTATCCTCAATTAAAAATGTAAGAGCTCAATCTCTAAGAATTCGGAACAGACTTATCCAACATTATGTTAACTGTCATAATCTCTGGCATGATATTCAATCATGAACTTGTACTGCTCCTTGTACATAACCCCCATGGCACCCTATGCATCCCTCTATTATCTATCTCAAAGCACCTTATATTTTTCATACTTGAATATTCAAAGTTTTCATATTTGGTAACATCCCTAAAATTTTAAAGAGCAAAAATTGGATTATGGATTCCAGCATTATAAAGTAAAAACAGATAAAACAAGGCCAAGCACAATGGCTCACCCCTATAATCTTAGCACTTCGAGAGTCTGAGGAGGAACATCCCTTGGGGTCAGGAGTTGGAGGCCAGCCTGAGCAACACAGTGAGACCATAGCTCTACAAAAAATAGAAAAATTAGCCAGATGAGGTGGCAGGTGCCTGTAGTCCCAGCTACCTGGGAGGCTGAGGCAGGAGGATTACACAAGCCTAGGAGTTTAAGGGTGCAATGAGTCAGATCCTGTCTCAAAAACAAACAAACAACAATACAACAGATAAAAAACAAATTGAGAGCTAGCAATACCGGACAGAACTGAGTTTTCATCTACCTCTGCTACTTTAGTTATATGTACCTGGCCAAATTAATTTCTCTTAGTTTTAGCTTTCTTTTCAGAAAGTACGAAACAATACTATCTCATAAACATGAATGATGTAAGGCACATGGCACAGTCCCTGGCTTTTAACACATATAACAATAAAAAAATATTATAAAACAATCTCAAAATCTCAAGAACTCATACAAATTTAGCCGAATCCATATGCTATTAATATACCATGTTATACTTTATTACAGATTACATATATGTATATCTACTTACTTATCAAACACTGATACTTAATCTGAAAGCTGCCATGTCTCACATAGTTGCTAAATCCTCAATGACTAGTAAAGACATTAACTTCTAACAGGCTCACTGTAATAGTGTGCTTCATGAAATTTTCCTACACTAATTTTGTAAAAGTTTCAGAATTTTAAAATACACATTTAAGTTTACACTAACCATATCTGCAGGTTCTGCCTATGCTGATTCAAGCAACTACAGATAAGCACACTCGGGGATCCTGGAACCAATCCCCCATAGATACCCAGGGATGACTATACATTCAACTTGTACAAAATCCCAACAACACAGAGCAACATAAAATAAAGTATATTGTCCTTTCAAAACCGCTCCCCCTATCTGCCCACAATACATGTGGCTATGGTGGCAACTGATGACTTCTAATCCTTGTTTAATACTTTCCAGCAGTCCAAGAAAGATAGGAAGTGCAAGGAACTAAAGGATTTGTTCTCTAAAATTTGGATTAAATCCAAAGGCCGCACTTAAGGATCTAGAATGCCGCAGGTTCCCCACCCCTGGACTAGGGAAATAGGGGCGAGGTTGCATAGGGTTGTCGCAGATTATTAGACAAATTGAAACTGAGAAAGTTTTAAGAATCTTGCTCAGTGTCACACAGCTAGTAAAGTGGAGAGCATAACTGGGAAAATTATAAAATTAGAAGAATATGTACAAAAAAGGGACTCTAGCACAGTGTAAGGAACGTAACAGGTACTCCAGGTATGGTATCATTGGGTCCGCACCCCCCATTTTTCCCAAGCACACACAAATCAGTCTTGTTTACTTGCCTCTCTAGCTTCTTGGGCAATAATTTAAAATTAACCACTTTGGTATGTTCACAATTTTATTTGGATAAATGAAAAGTCATATCATGGGTGTTGGCTAAAATAGCTGTGTGCATTCATCTGTGGCTATCAATGCTGGTATTAAAGTGATTAAAAATCAATCTCTACTTTTCAGAATCAGACCATAAAAGCTCTGTAGGCATGTCACCACCCTAGTTCAAGATACCCACATCCATCTTCTGGATACACAATGGTGCCTCCAATCAATTTCCTAACTACATAGCTAAAATAGTCTTTCCAAATACAAATACAATCGTTTTCCAACTTAAAACACTCTTTTGGCCGGGCGCGGTGGCTCACGCCTGTAATCCTAGCTCTCTGGGAGGCCGAGGCAGGTGGATTGCTCGAGGTCAGGAGTTCGAAACCAGCCTGAGCAAGAGCGAGACCTCGTCTCTACTATAAATAGAAAGAAACTAATTGGCCAACTAATATATATAGAAAAAATTAGCCGGGCATGGTGGCTCATGCCTGTAGTCCCAGCTACTTGGGAGGCTGAGACAGAAGGAACGCTTGAGCCCAGGAGTTTGAGGTTGCTGTGAGCTAGGCTGACGCCACGGCACTCACTCTAGCCTAGGCAACAAAGCGAGACTCTGTCTCAAAAAAAAACAACAAAAAAAAAAACCACTCTTTTATTACTTTAAGGAAGCAGTTCTCAAACCTTAATCTCAAACCATAATCGCCTGGAGGTCTTGGTAAAAGTTTGCTGGGGCCAGGCTGGGCATGGTGGCTCACACCTATAATCCTAGCACTCTGGGAGGCCGAGGTGAGAGGATCTCTTGAGGCCAGGAGTTCGAGACCAGTCTGAGCAAGAGCGAGATCTTGTCTCTACAAAACATAGAAAAATTAGCCGGCATGTTGGTGTTCACCTATAGTTCCAGCTACTTGAGAGGCAGAGGCAGGAGGATCAGTTGAGCCCAAGAGTTTAAGGTTGTAGTGAGCTATGAAGATTCCACTGCACTCTACCTAGGGTGACAGAGCAAGACTCTGTCTCAAAAAAAAAAAAAAAACTAGGACTGCAAACTAGTACAACCTCTGTGGAAAGCAATATGGAGATACCTCAAAGAGGTACGAGTAGAACTACTATTTGATCCAGCAATCCCATTACTGGGCATGTATCCAAAAGAAAAAAAGACATTCTGTAAAAAATACATCTGTACTTAAATGTTTATAGCAGCACAATTCACTTTTTTTTTTTTTTTTTTTGAGACAGTCTCACTTTGTTGCCTAGGCTAGAGTGCCCTAGCGTCAGCCTAGCTTACAGCAACCTCAAACTCCTAAGCTCAAGCAATCCTTCTGCCACAGCCTCCCAAGTAGCTGGAACTACAGCCATGCGCCACCATGCCTGGCTAATTTTTTGTTTCTGTATATATTTTTTAGTTGGCCAATTAATTTCTTTCTATTTTTAGTAGAGACAGAGGTCTTGCTCTTGCTCAGGCTGGTTTCAAACTCCTGACCTTGAGTGATCCGCCTGCCTCAGCCTCCCAGAGTGCTAGGATTACAGGCATGAGCCACTGCACCCAGCCTACAATTCACAATTGCAAAGATGTGGAAACAACCCATGTGCCCATCAATACATGAGTGGATTAATAAATTGTGGTATTGTATACCATGGAGTTCTACTCAGCCACAAAAAACAATGGTGATTGATATAGCACCTCTTGTATCCATTCTACTAAGTATCCCAAGAATGGAAAAACGAGCACCACATGTGCTTACCATCAAATTGGTATTAACTGCTCAACACTTAAATGCACAAATAGTAATAACACCCATGTGGCGTCGTTCAGACAGGAGGCACAGGAGGCGATGGGTATATACACGCCTAATGGGTGTGGTGCACACTGTCTGGGGCATGGACATGCTTGAAGCTCTGACTCAGGTGGGGCAAGGGCAATATATATGTAACCTAAACATTTGTACCCCTGTAATATGCTGAAATAAAAAAAAAATGTATGAACAACAAAAAAAAGAAAAAAATAGTCTTACATCTATTTTTTTATGACACTGACATTTCTGAAGAATGCATACCAGTTGTCTCTTAGAATGCCCCACAAACTGAATTAGAATAATTTTATCAGGCCGGGCGCTGTGGCTCACGCCTGTAATCCTAGCTCTTGGGAGGCCGAGGCGGGCGGATTGCTCAAGGTCAGGAGTTCAAAAGTAGCCTGAGCAAGAGCGAGACCCCATCTCTACTATAAATGGAAAGAAATCAATTGGCCAACTGATATATATATAAAAAAAAAAAATTAGCCGGGCATGGTGGCACATGCCTGTGGTCCCAGCTACCAGGGAGGCTGAGGCAGAAGGATTGCTCGAGCCCAGGAGTTTGAGGTTGCTGTGAGCTAGGCTGACGCCACGGCACTCACTCTAGCCTGGGCAACAAAGCGAGACTCTGTCTCAAAAAAAAAAAAAAAAAGAATAATTTTATCATGATTAGATTGAAGTTAAATATTTTTGGTAAGAATGTTATATAGACAGTGTTGTGTACTTATTGCATTGTATCAGAAAACACATAAGGTTTGTCCTATGATTTTTGTTGTTTTTAATAAGTAATGTGTGATGAATCTCTGCAATATGAATATTCTGTTTTTCAAAGAACTTCCTTCCACCCAATAATTTTAGCATTCATTGACGATTCTTGTATGAATGTTTTAATACATTTGCGATTATGGAATCAGGTTTTTTAACTTAATGTGTTTTCTCTCCCATAGGAAGGATTCCTTATCTTGGTTCTGAGGCTGCTTTCTTGAATAAGAAAATGATTAAGCTTGACTTAAGATCCGTGAGTGGGAATCTTAGCAGCAGCCCAGCTAATATGTTCTAATATTCAATAGGCTACAGGCTGTGAAGCATTGTTGGCAGCACACTCTGGAACTAAAGGCACAGAGCTAAAGGTTAGAGACTGTCATCAACACACCAAGTCAGCAAAACAAAAAGCTGGCCAGCTTTCAAGGTCTGGGGAAAGATATCCACTGCCTATTGGATCTTGAGCTCTAGAGAACCAGGCTTTGCTAAAAGAAGCATTACCTTACCCACCACCAGCTCAATGGAGTCTGCGACAGCCCTGGCAGACCTGCAAACAGAGGCTAGCTGTCCCATCTGTCTGGACTACTTCAAAGACCCAGTGACCATCAGCTGTGGGCATAACTTCTGTCGCCCCTGCATCAGTGTGTCCTGGAAGGATCTCATTAATAGTTTCCCCTGCCCTGTTTGCCACTTCTGCTCTCCAGAAAGGAAATTCATAAGCAATGAACAACTGGGTAATTTGTCTGAGACTGCTAAGCTACTCCAGGTAAGAAGAAGCAAGAGGAAGCGGCAGGAAGAAAATCTCGTATGTGAGAAGCACAATCTGATTGTGACCTTTTTCTGTGAAAATGACCTGGAGGTTTTATGTCTGCAGTGCAATTCCTCCACTGCCCACGAGCAACACCGTGTTTGGTCCATAGAAAAGGCTGTACGCTTTCATAGGAAAAATTTGGAGAGTTACATCAAATCATGGAAGGAGAGTGTGGAACTATTTGAAAAAATGTTAACTATGCAAACCAGAAAATCATTGGAACTGAAAAAAAAGGTAAAACACAGGAGAGAAGAAGTAAATTCTGAATTTGAGCAACTTAGGTTGTTTCTCCAAAATCAGCAGGAGACTGTTCTTAGGCAATTACACGATGAAGAGATGGATGTTTTAGCAAAACTAAAGGAAAACCTAACAAAATTTTCAGATCATGCCTCTTTATTAAAACATCTATTGAAGCAGACAGAGCGCAAGTATGTGAAGTCAGAACTGGAATTACTGGCAGATATTAAGAGTATCTATCACAGATATAATAACCTAAAATGCCCTGAACCTTTTTCATTCAGATTAAAAGAATATGGTTACTGTCTTCCTCCACAATATTCTGGCCTTAACAAAATTATAAAGCAATTTCAAGTAGATGTAATTCTAGATCCTGAAACAGCACATCGTAAACTTTTTGTCTCAGAAGATAGAAAAACTGTGCGATATGGAAATACAATGCAAAACTTACCTCATAACCCAGGAAGATTTTATCTCTGCCCAGCTGTTCTGGGTTCTAATGCATATCGGTGTGGCAGGCAGTACTGGGAAGTAGAAGTGAAAGACAAGCCTGAATGGGTTATGGGTGTCTGTGATGACTCTCTTCCCAGAAGAAAGAAGAGTCAGAATCAACCAATGCTAGTAAAGAATGGATTATGGGGAATTGGACGATGCAATCAGAGTAATTATATTGCATTGGGTCCTAAGAAAGCTGATTTTCTGCCAAAAGTAATGCCTAGTAAGATTGGCATTTTTTTAGACTTTGAAATGAGTGAGATTTCCTTTTACAATATGAGTGATAGATCTCTTCTGTATACTTTCAATGACAATTTCGCAGGAAGACTTTGGCCTTATTTCTATACTGGAACTGACTCAAAACCTCTTAAAATATGTACAGTAAGAGATTCTGAATGATGAACTATTGAAAGACTCTCATTTCTTTTTCTTTCAGTTGACATAACTAAGCTAGTAAATCTAGTCTTGACAATTTTTTTTTTTTTTTCAGTTTCCTCCCCACCCAGCACGGTATTTATCTCAGTTTCAGCAACTTCTAAAAAATGTGATGATTAGTGCCTACTTTGTAGATAAATCATGGGGTACAATTGGAAGGTGCATTAGAAATTCTAAGATTAAATACTTGAAAAATGTATTAAGAAAATTTATTACTCTAGTAATTATAAATAAAAACCTGATAACCTTCTGTATTAATTTTCTACATATGTTTCCTTTAAGACAAATTAAGTCTTGCTGCTCCTGAGTGCAAGGGGCCCAGGGCTGGGCCTTTCTCTACACTGGCAGGGTTCCCTCACTGGGGCTTGCCAGGGTTTCCCAAGGGGTCTGGGGCCCAGGGGTCTCTGCAGTAGCATCTTGGGGCAGACAACCTTTCTGGGGTTTCTCTGAGGTGGCGTGGGCTTCCCTTTGGATTGGGGTGGAGGTTTCCTGGACAAGGGTGGCGTTTCAGGAGAAAAGGGGTGATTTGGAGGCTAGGAGTTTGATGGCTGCATCCTATCTGTAAGAGGGGTACTTGGTGAGGGCTTGTCCTGGAGGGAAGGTATAGGAACCAGACCCTGGTTAGGATTATGGCTGGGGGGGGGGTGTCTTTAAGCCACATCTGGAGAAGCTGATGGATTGGGGACCAGCCCCATGGTAGCTCAGGGACACTGGGTAGTTTGTCATAAAATACAGAATCTTAGAAACCTTGAGATGCATTTATGGGGCCAGAGAAACTCCTAAGGAGCAATTCTTTCTGAAGGTATCAAGAATTTAGGGCCTTCTTCCTTGGAGATGATTTGGGGGCCATCCAGGGTTATCTGAGAGGGACTCAGGGAGTCAGTAGAAGAAAACCCAAGATGGAGTAGTTGGTTTTCCTTTGGGGTGGGATGGGAGGGTAGAGGTCTGGGTCTCAAGCAATGGGGGATTGCCAGGACTTGAAGTCTTGGAGATTTCTGGGATGGTTAAGGGGCCAGATCTTTTTTTTTAATATCTTGGATCTAAGGGGAAAGTTCTCTCAGAGCAAGGATGAGAGGGTGCCTCTCTGAGGACTGGGTAGTCCCAGAAGATCCTCAGAGCCAAGGTCTGGGCATTATTTTTAGATTCTGGGGAAGGTTGCTGTAGAGGCTAAGAACCCAGACTGAGGGAGTCACATAAAAATGTTATTTATTTTTCCCTCCCTCCCTCTTTTTTTTTTTTTTTT